ACCTCCTGCAACAGCTGGACTGTGTTCGCAGTGCCCAAGTTTTCTGTAACAAAAGAATGATGATGACCACAACAACACAGACTATTTCTTTATGACTATAATAATCAGAATCACTAATTCCCCTTTTCTAAGAATACTCAACATGTTGAGATGTACTCTTACCTATAGAACCCAAATAATTACAATGTTAAAGAAAGCAACTTCAGGGACCAGCAGGTGAAGTAATGGCTGTGTCGCTGGACTCCCATGTAGTCGACCACAGATGGAGTCCCGGAACCAGTGGCTTAAACTCATGCCAGGCGTGTGTGCGTGCGTACCCAAGATCCCATAGAGGAGAATGGAGGAGAAGGGATTGTGTCATGGCCATCCCCTCTGGCGGGTGATTTCCCACTTTCTGTCTTTCTGGCAAGAACATGCGCCCTATAACAAAAGCCTCTCAAAAAAAAGCAACTTAGTGATCACATGTTCTAGTTATTTGAGGAGCTTATGAAAACAAATTCACAGGAACTTTAGAAATTCTGATCAAGTAGGTCTGGTTATATGAAGGTGGCTGGATAGGGCCAGCTCTGCAGCACAGCAGGAACATGCTGCTCAAGTGCCACGCCTGATGGGCCAGAGGACTGGACGAAAGGGATCGCAGCAGGACCAGACCTAACGTAGGGTGCTCACCTCTCATTCACTCTCACATTCATGCATATGCACTCTATCATAAACAAAGAAAAAAATGAAATAAGCTCCTCAGATGGACCAGCTGGGGTGATGCAATAGTAACACCATGTTCCACGATGCTGAGGCCTGTAGTGGAAGGTCCTCGATTGGTGTCCTGAGGGCTCCCTGTGCAGGCTGGCTGTGTGTGCTAGTGATCCGGTCTGGCTGAGAGTGGAGGTAGGATCACAGCTTGAAGACCCTGATGGGAGTTCCTCCCTCTCTCATGGAAGAAATAAACACAAAAAAACTTAAAAACAAAAAACGTCCCCTAAATGTACTTAAGGGAGAAAATTTTTTTTAAAAAGCCTTCTAAGTGATTTTGAAGGTAAACCAAATTTGAGACTCACTGAGTGAATACAACTTTCATCTCATCTTAACCCTAAGTAATCTTAAACCAAAGAAGTAAATTACCTAATTTCACACAACAGACTAATAGAGACAACTAAGAATTAAACTCTTTTCTGCAGATGTATCTTGGTTAACATTCTGTATTGACTTCTGCCCTATCTACAACCCTGCAGTGCAGAGAGAGCAATCCAGAAGTAGGACAGCCTCCATCACTTTGAATTTTATAGGGGAATCAGGAGATTATGTGCTTTTTCCCAGCCCAAAGTTCCTCATTCCTGGTACTTCTCTTTCCAAGAAATGAGGCTGATGAGTAGACCAGGTAAGAACACCATAGAAATTAGAGGTTAGCACAGGGAAAAAGCAGATACCACTTTTCTTTCAGAGAACAACCAGGAAGCTTCCAGCTTGAATTGCTTCTTCTCCCTGGCCAAAGAGTTAAGAGTGTTAGGCCCACCCAGAGTAAGGAAATTTATAGAACAGGGACTCCACAACACTTAAAGAAACAAAATATAATTAAAAAAAAAAAAAAAAAAGCAAAGACAGTCTCCAACTTAAAAAGGGACAGTATTCAAAAATGTTGTAAATCAGTTGTTGAAGTAAATATTTTTCCTTTAGAAACGGTGGGCTGACTCACACAAGCCCATGTCACCTTCACGTGGCAAAACAGAGACACTAAAGCATTAGCCTGAAATCTGGTCCTCAAAGAGGATTGCTTTTCCCTATAAGGAGTACAAAAGAAAGAAAGCTTCCTCTCCTTTCTTCTGAAGGTTAGGGCCAAACCTGGAAACAATTTTTAAATGGGTACATTTTTCTTCAGTAGCCTCTCAACCACTATGGTGCATTCCTTTTCAACCTCCTAGAGATTCCAGATACTTAAGAGTATCTTGGCAATGGCATCTCATCTAGGACCACTGCTACTGAGGTCCTGCATGTTTTTTCCTCATGTTTTTTCCTGTAGTTTGAGCACTGAACCTGGTAGCTTGAGAAAAATGTTAGGCATGTGTGCATGTGTGTCCGAAATCCAGACATGATGGAGAGGTGGAGAAAAGACTGCAGCATGACCATGCCCCACAAGGGTGCTTTTTCCTGTCTCTCTCACCTTTGTCTCTTTTTCTCTGGCAAGTGTACAAACCTAGCAGAAACTAAAAACAAAACAGTAAAAAAAATTCCCTCGCTTCTGTGTAACATGGCCAAGATTTTGGCCCAGCCTTGGTGATGTAGTAGGGAGCACAGTAAACTGCGGTATTGGAAGCCAGGTGGCCGAGCATGGGTTCAGATCCCGGACTCAGTCAACCTGAAACACACCAGGCAAATGCATATACACAACATCATCTGATGAGCAGGAGAGCTTGGGAAGGGGAGCTCGGCATGACGGGACCCTGTTGAGGGTGTTTCTCTCTCTTGTGTACATGCATACATGCACTGTGAGTAAAATAAATAAACTTTAGGGAAAAAAAGAATCAAACTTAATCAATTCATGCTAATGTGAAATAAGACATTCTTATAGTAACCCCCAACTTTAAGAGACTAAGTACTAATCCAAATAAAATGAATCTCTACTTGATACAATTTTAAGAACTGTAAAAACAAAAACAAAAACAAAACAGATATATAATGAAAGGTATACAGGACTTAGTGGAACTAAAAGTGTTATTTGGAAGTCAAACTTCTAGGGTCAACTTCCCCAGTGTTGTTTCTATTTCTCTGCCATAAACACTATTTTTTAAAAAAATTTAGTTAGTTAGTTAGTTACTTATTTATTTATTTATTGCTATGCTCTGCTATAGTGCACTCACCAGAGACAGACAGAAAGAAAAAGAGAAAGTGAGAAAACATCTCCCAGGGGGATGGCCATGCTGCAATACCTTCTCCTCTTAGGATTTTGAGCACACACACATGAGCTCAAGCCACTAGGTCTGGGACTCAAACCATGAAGGTGGCCATGTGGGATTCAGCACCTTAACCTCCACTCCACCAGCTGGCCCTCTGCCATGAATATTCTCTAAAAGTTCCGTTTTCTGTTTTCATAAGTAGAAGGAGCTCTGGGAGTGGTAGGATGGGTTACTGATAAACTGGAAAGAGTATGTAAGTTGTTGACTGCTTTGTATCCAAAACCAAAAAAGGACAGTGAGAAAATAGAAAGGGATAAACCATAACTCAAAAGGTTTTCTTTATGATATAAGAAGTAGATAAAGCAGGATCCAAGGTGAGCTGGGAGTGGTAGGTAGGGAGAATTGTCAACTTACCTAAACTAAGAAGAGGCCTGAGAATCTGAGATTTGATATCACTTAATTTGGAATAGAACCGTCTTTCCGAAGTAGCCAACTCGTGGAGACTGGCAATGTACCCCATAATGTTTTTATCCACCAAGGCTAGATAGCTACTTTTTCCTGCTGTCACTCTGCTTATATATCCAAGCTAAAATAAAGAAAAATAAGATTAAAGATATAATATACTTTGCTAGTAGCAATTTGGTGTGTTGAAGCTCACTCCTATCAGCTGACAAGAGACAAATGTTAAATATTAAGGAATTCTGCAAGCAGGTTATTAAACTAGTGGCGGGTTGAAAGTGGCCATGGTGACAAACTGCCAACATAAAGACTTTTTTTTACACTTTTTTAAAGAGCTAGTGTACCAGTACACCATTATTATATATACATATCTGGATCTATACATAAAACTATATATTAGTACATCTACTTTCATTTATCTCCAAAATACCTTCTATTTTATAGTACAAGTATTTGGAACCACAGGTATCATGGATATATAAAGATCCAAATGATAAGGATACATGTCTCAGGACTCCTTTTGCTTGAAGTGAGATTAATGAGAACAAAGAGGATTTCTAGGCTATATATACAAACAATAAAGGTCTGGGACTTAAACTGCCTCTCAAAAATAGAACGTAAGGCGATTTTCTCTAAACAGGATATTGTTTCATGCACCCATGATACTGCTGTACAAAAGTATTCAATGTCTTTATTCACATATCCTTATTAAACTAGGCAGGCATGAAGCTGCAGAGCCAACAAACATCCCATTGTAACCAAAGACCCAGAGCCTTATTCTTTCATCACCCTTTATCTAGATGTGTGGGATCTTCGTAGGGAATGTGGAGCCAAAGACAACACTTACAAACCATCAAAGAGCATGCCTATACAGGTCAAGGGCCAAATCTTAGCCAATGCTGCCATTAGCAAGAAAGATCTTGTCCCAAACATCCAGAACTTATTAGCTAGAAAAACAAATGCAAAGACTGAAAAACAGCCCACAGCATGTATCGTTCAAGAAATTCAGAATGCCCTAGCTTTGAGGGTTAATTTCTCGGCAGTATGTCAGTTTGAGGATCTGAGTTATTTTAGCAGGAAAAAGAAACCAGAAACAAGCTAATGGCTTAAGTTCATGAGAAAGAGACAGAAAGCAGGAAAACAGAAATTCAGATCTGTAAATGAAAAGTAAAGGGATAAATAGTAGGAAATAAAGTGAAAAACTAAGGAGAGGGACCAGCAGCTGGTGTGGTGATTAAGGCGCTGGACACTCCCACATGGACGACCAGGGTTCGAGTCCTGAATCTGGTGGCTTGCTTTCTCGCTTCCTCTCTCTCTCACTCTCAAAGTCTGTCTCTCTCTGGTCAAATTAAAAAATAAAATGAATGAATAAATAAAATAAAATAATTATTAAAAAAATTATTAAAAAAAAAAAGCTAAGGAGAAAGCAGTGAGAAGTAGAATCCTATAAGCTTTCATGGTCTGTATGAGCTCATCCCTACAATTTGCACTTCTCTAATTTACCCACTCTATTTCTACCTTAATTCACTCTGTGGATACCATGAATAGTCTATATTTCTATACAAGGGTGCTAAAGCAAAAGCTATTTATCAAGTATGCACTGTAAGGATCAAGCAAAGGATGAGAAAGGCTAAAACCCTTACCTACGTGAATCTTCCATTATAATAATAAGGACAAAGGAAGTAAATCACAGAGTGCATTAGATGGTGATAGGCACTATAGAGAGAATAGGCAGAAAGGAGATAAGGAGTGGAGGGGAATGGGAAGGGGCTTACAGTTTTAAGTAAGTCAGCGATACTTAATAATTGGCATACATGCAAAAACAGAAAGACTTCTTGAGCACGGGGGCCTTAGGATGCAGTTCCTGTTCACCTTACTACAGGAGAGAAGTACTGGAGTCTTAGTACCGCTGTGATTCTCTGGAAGGCTGTCACCTTCTGGAGGGTCCTGTCGGCCACTGTAATATAACCCAGGCTGGAAGTCTTCTGTATCCACCAAAAACAGAGAATAATCCTGGCCTGCAGCTACACTCCACACTCCATTTTCGCTATTAACCTGCAAAAACAGAAAGATATGTCTGTTTGAGGTGAAGGCAATCGGAGAGAACTTCAGATCCATGGGAACTGAAATGTTGGGTTACTTGAACTGGCAGGGTGCAAAGGCAGTCATGTCTCAGAAGCCAAAACTCACCCAGTAATGTATCCAATCAAATGCAGAAGACATACAGGAATAAAAAGAAATCCCTTGTTCAGCTTTCAAATTTAAAACTAGATAGGGTTTTTTTGGAGAGATTTTTGCTATGGGCGTGTGTGCTTGCCAAAAAGACAGAGACAAAAAAGCAAGAAATCAACCCCCAGAGGATGGCCATGCCACATTCCTTCTCCTCCATTCTCCTCTCAGGATTTTGAGCACACACATACATGCACCCAGTTTGAGTTTAAAGGTGCAAGGTCTAACACTTGAACTGCAGGCGACTACGTGGGAGTCCAGCAACTAAACCATTATGCCATCTGCTGGCCCCAGAACTAATTTTTTTAAAATAAATAACTGAAAGATAGAAATTTAAAAAGGAAAAACCAAAGATCTGACTTATTTCTGGAATTCCACACAAGATTTAGCCTGTTTTACAACTAAGAGGCCCAGAACTTTTAGAGCCCTACTAGAGAAGTGATACCTTTATCCATCCCTTTTGGTTATGTGCCCCATTCAGGCCAACTAAACCCATGGGCGCCAAAATTCAGTTCTTCCACTTGTAACTCACGCCTCTTGGATGTGGATCCCTGGATATTCAAACTCTCAGGACCTCCTAGAAGCCCACCTATACAAGTTTCTTAGATGTGCAGCAGTAGCAATTATCCAGGGAACGGGTGATAAATGTAGACTCTTGGGCCCTGGAGCTCCTAGGGGTGAGATTTGGCACTGTTTTCACAAGCCCTCAAATGATTCTGATGTCTACAAAAATTTGAGAACCACCACCTTATATTAATGACCCTCAAACCTTAAAATTCCAAACAGTAATTCAGTGGTCACCAAAGAAAGGCAGGTGCCAGGGCTTTGGGGTCGCCCCTTCAATCTTCAACTAAAGTCGTTCTACTTTATCTGTTTAATATATGGAATTCCTCACAGGATTTCACGTGAAGTGATACTACTGTGAAAACTACTGCCATCAACTTCCAGATCCAACTTCAGCCCTGACTCTTAGACTGATAAGCAAAGAAACCCTAGTCTGTTAGTCTGTTGTGTCTAGATAGCTGCAGCCCTGACACCTAGACCAATAAGCAAAAAATCCCTAATCCCTTCGGTCCTGTCTGTCTAAATGGGCTCCAAATCCTAGATGACTGTGTGTGCATGTATGTGAGCAGGCACACATGCGTCTCTACGATTTCATAGCTATTCAATCTGGCCTGATGCTATCTTCTCAAATGCAGGCTCTCTAAAAAACTGACTTCCTGTTCACTCTGCAAAGAATAAATTAGAATTTTTATAGGAGTGTCTAATCAAAACTAATTTAAATCTTGTCATCCCCCCCTTCACTAATCTCACAGATAAACCAGAACAACTTCAATACGTTTTTCTCACTCTTACTCAAATGAAAAACTACAGTCCTGATGCTGTAACTTGTATATGTGCAAAGAGTTATGAAACTAAAACCGATAATGAACTCCATTTCTCTTTCTGACTCTCAAATGTTAAAAAGAATTATGATTTTCAGGGAACTAGCAGTTAGCGTAATGGCTATGTCGCTGGACTCCCACGTAGTCAACCGCGGTTCGTGTCCCGGACCCGGTGGCTTAAAACTCACGCCGGGCACGTGTGCGTGCGTGCCCAAGATCCCGAGAGGAGAATGGAGGAGAAGGGATTGTGGCGTGACCATCCCCCCTGGGGGGTGATTTCTCGCTTTCTGTCTCTGTGTCTCTGTCTGTCTGTCTGGCGAGCGCATGCGCCCTACAGTGAAAATCTCTCCAAAAAAAAAAAAAAAAGAATTATGATTTTCAGAGTCTACATGCTATATGACAAAACTTTCCATAAATAAGTGCATTTTCTACTTTATTCAAATAAACAAAAACTAAGGAAAATTGACTAGCAGGAAAACTCCTGAAAAAGTTCATGGGAAATACATATTATGAAAAATAACTATGCATGGACTTCAAAAGGGTTTTTTTTGGCATCAAAATAGACTTATATTTTAATTCCATTTTTCCAAATTTTTTGACAGACCATATGTCTTTTTTTGGAGAGGTTTTTGCTATAGGGCATGTGCGCTTGCCAGAAAGACAGAGTGAGACAGAAAGCGAGAAATCACCCCCCAGGGGGGATGGCCACGACACAATCCCTTCTCCATTCTCCTCTCGGGATCTTTGGCATGCACACACACACACATGCCTGGTATGAGTTTAAGCCACCGGGTCCAGGACTCAAACCGTGGTCGACTAAATGGGCATGCAGCGACATAGACATTATGTCAACTGCTGGTCCCAGACAGATCATATGTCTTTGTTTGTGATAAAATATCAGAGAGTGAGTAATTTATTACTGAAATGTTTTATACTGAAAATATGCACAATCAGAGCTAGAAGTAACAACTGTTTCCTCGTATTTTTCTTCCCAGTAAAATGAAGTCCAACTTGGGACCAGCAGTTAGCGTAATGGCTATGTCGCTGGACTCCCATGTAGTCTACTGCAGTTCGTGTCCCAGACCCGGTGGCTTAAACTCACGCCGGGCACGTGTGCGTGCGTGCCCAGGATCTCAAGAGGAGTACAGAGGAGAAGGGACTGCGGCGTGGCCATCCCCCCCCCGGGGGGGGAGTGATTTCTCACTTTCTGTCTCTCTGTCTCTCTCTGTCTGGTGAGCGCACGCGCCCTATAGCAAAAACCTCTCAAAAAAAAAAAAAATGAAGTCCAACTGAAGAGAAAGGCAACACATAAAAGTCTTAGACAATGATGGATTTACCATGCACAACTGAATATATGAATTACTGAGTACTTAGTAACTGTAGCTTACATCTGAATCGTGTTCCTGAAATGATGTAAGTATCCTTGTTTAGTCTCTACTGCTCTAGTTTAGGAAGCGAGTCGTGAGATGGGGTAGATTCAAACTAGATACACACAAGCTCCATGGTTCACCTATTATGCTTACCACGCATGGTCTCCTCCACTGCTACCAAAAACTCAGAATCGCTGAATAAGGAGCCAAAATTACTGATGACAATTTGGTCTTTCCAGAGTGTTGGGAAACAAAAAAAGGTTGAGAAATGGTGCTCTAGAATTCTATCAAAGGGACTAGAAGCTACCAATTGCTCAATAGCTTTATGTACACTAAAACTAATTCATGCAACAGCAAAAAAAAAAAAAAAAAATCACCTCTACTTTTAGTTTCATTACAGAAAACGAAAAGGCTCATATAAGGGAAGGTTTCATTACTGTGTATATTATCACACTCATACACACACACTACCATCTCTATGAAATGCTATGTTAGAGTCTTAATGAGATGTGAGAGAGTAGACATTATTTGGTAAAGCTCAGAAAACATCACAGATCTAGAAATATTTATTTCAAAGGAATTTTTTCATTTTTTCTTAAAAAGGCAAAAGAATTCTTTTCAATGAACTGAGGCTAAGAAATATAAATAAATACATACTAAATATTTAGCTTATTTAAAAAAATTTTTTAAGAATAGCAAAACAAATTTAGATTACAAACACATAAGTCCCCTAGTGCTTAAAAACAAGAAAAATATAGTGTTACAACTTAAAATTCTAAAGTAAGTTGCTATCAAGTTCACAAAAATACCTTTGCAAGACGAGGGACTGTTGTTGGGAAATCGGAATGCCCAAGTTGGCCAAAGGTATTGCTGCCCCATGCGTAAACCTATCAGAAAACCACAGGATAGTAGGTAAGAGCTGTGAATCTGCTCTTGCAAGTCACCTCTGAACCTTTATGAGAAATGCTATAGAAGTATCATAATGAAACATAAATTACTCTTATTAATCTTTTATGCTTTGAAAAAGCAGTATTAAGAAAATTCATTTTTAAACAAGACCAGAGATAACAAACAGAATCCATAAGACATACAAACCAAGGGTTAACAAGAGCAACAACAGTAACTAACATTTTTTAGGCATTTACTAACTGCCAGGTATTCTTAACACTTTCCATGTATTAATTCATGTATAATTCTCACAACTGTCTTTATTTTCAGTCCAGATATGATAACTGGTCAACAGAGAGTAATTTTAAGTGGCAGAAACAGGATTTAATTCTGGAATTATCCTATACTGCCTCTTGCAAGGAAAGCGATGAAAAAAAAAAAAGAAAGTAAGTGCTGTAAAGAAAAGGAATCATGATTCCTTACTCTATGGACTGGAGTACTATGGAATGACCAGAAAGCTTTCACAAACAGAGATTCACTGTAGGATAAACCTGAGTGCATGCTCCACCACAGACAAGGGGAAACTAGATTACGATGACTATATTTAATGAGCACGTTTCTGTTTATTCTGATTATGAAAGTAATTTATATTCATTGTACAAGACTGTGACAGTACCAAAAAACAGTAAGTGAAGAGCACTGGGGAATCAATCAGTTAAGAGACAATTACTATTTTGTTTGGAGAAGATACAACTTTCCAGAAATTTTAATGATTACTAGATAATATATGTGTGTATGTGTGTGTCTATATATACATTATATATATACATACATATATACACACATATACATATACACATATATATAGTATAGCCCTACATGGTTATTAATAACTAGTTATTAAAAATTAGTTATACTTTCATCAATTTCCTACCAAATTATTAAGTTCTTTCAGATATCTGAACATAAAAATCCTTGAAAATTTGTATATTTATTTCCTTCCGTAGGATACATTCCTAGACAAGAACTCTGGGTCAAAGAATGCATATTATGATATTTGATACATGCTGACCATCTTCCAGAAAGATCCAGCATACATTCCACCAGCATTGCATGTACCCTTTCCCACCTCCTGACCAACTCTCAGCCTTAAATGCAATCCTTGCTAACCAGACAGGTGAGAAAAATATTTTCTTGCTGTTTTAATTTAAATATGCTTACTCAGTGGTCATCTTTTCATTTGCTGTTGGCTATTCCATTTTTTCTCTTATGAATAAAATAAAAATATCCTTTGGCAAGTTTCCTGTATCAGAGTAGCAGTACTTTCTCATAAATGTTGCAAATATTTTTCCCCAGTTTTTTTATATATCTGAATTCTTATTGTCATGTTTTTCACTATTCGGGGCTACTGAATTACTATGTAGATAAGCATATTTTTTACTTTCTAATCTCTAGTTTTGATGTTATATCTTTTTTTACTCCTCAGGTTATTGAAAAAAAAATCTAAATTAGTTCTTACACATGAAAGGTTCTACTTTTAACTACATCTTTAATATATCCAGACTTATAATATATAGAGTTAATCTGTTTTTTTCCTGAAAATAAGCCAATAGTTCCACTAGTATTTACTGGTTACTCAGTCATGTTTTCCAAATGGATCTGAAATGTCCACTTTTATTGTACTTTCAATTCTCATACATACTGGGGTCTATTTCTAGTCTACAGGAATATTTCTGTCCTACTAATCTGTTGGGAGTTTTACAATATGTATCATAAGAATTAAGCTCTTCCTTTCTGCTCTTTCTGAATTTACCTGGCTCACCTATACTTATGTTTCTAGAATAATTTTATAATCATTTTATCATGCTGCAATTTTTAATTTGTTTTAGGTTTTTGCCAAAGGGTGTGTACACTCACCAGAGAAAGAAGGAAAATGAGAAATCACCCCACAGGTGGGATGGCTACACTGTAATCCCTTCTCCCCCATTTGCCTCTTAGGTTTTTGGGCATGCATGCACACATGCCTGGTGTGCTTTTAAAGCTGCCAGGTCTAGGGCTTGAACCAGTCAACCATGTAGGAGTTCAGTGCCTTAACCACCACATGACCTGCTGGCCCCTCACACTGTGAATATTATACTGGAATATTTTGGGAATCGTACTGAATTTATACTGTGCTGATTAAAGGATTTAGAGAAAAATTAAATTTTTGCAATACTGAAGTTTCTCATCCAAAAGTAAAATATCTCCCTTTACTCTATGACCTTTAAAAAGGTTCCAGGGTCTATGTCAAATGGGCACTGTGAACTTTCTATTAATGTTATTGCTAGTTCCTAAATACTTTTGCTATTAATCATGAACAGCATTGTTTGCCAAGCATGTTTTCTGCTTTACTGTATGTATATAATAAAACTAGTAATTTTCATTTTATAACTGACCATCTTCATAATCTCTTGTTTCGTTTTGTTTATTTATTTATTCATAGAAAAAGAATAGGGTGAGAGAGAGAGAGAGAGACAGGAAACACTGATAAGGTCTAAACACAGTAATCCAAACTATGCTGACACTCCCAGCATTCTCAAGGGGTTCCTGGGGTACGAACCTAGAACCTTTCCCATGTGAGTCCAGTTGCGTTACCACTACACCACTACCTGGTCCCCTATGTTCTCATTTTTTAAGTCTTCTGAATGACCCATCATGACAATAAACTATCCTTTTCTTTCCTAATATTAACATGTATAAAGTTATGTTAACTTTCTAGCTAGCCTAATATGGAAAATATGAAATAAATCAAATACCAAGAGTTCAGAATCCTTTACTGACTTCTTTAAAAAAATAAAAGGTCTGGGACCAGCAGTAAGCGTAATGGCTATGTCGCTGGACTCCCATGTAGTCGACCGTGGTTCGAGTCCCAGACCTGGTAGCTTAAACTCACGCCGGGCTCGTGTGTGTGCGTGCCCAAGATCCCGGGAGGAGAATGGAGGAGAAGGGATTGCGGCGTGGCCATCCTCCCGGGGGGGTGATTTCTCACTTTCTGTCTCTCTCTGTCTTTCTGACAAGCGTACATGCCCTGTAGTGAAAACCTCTCAATAAATAAATAAAAGGTCCTAGCCTGGTGCCCTGGTCAGTAGGAAACTGAACTGCATGCAGTGTTGGAACCTACATGGCCAACCACAGGTTTGGGTTTGAATACCCAGTCTGGCTTACGAATACACCAGATGTGTGTGCATGCCCAGGATCCTGATGAGCTGGAGGACTAGGGGAAAGGGGAACACAGTGTGAGGAGATTTTATCAAGAGCACTTCTTTCTCTCTCTCAGTATCTCTATCATGTGTGTGTCAGGCCATAAAGAATTAATAAAATGAAAAAGAGACCTAAGGAGATTAGTGAAGTATATTTTAAAATAACTTAAAAGTATTTTTTTCTTTTGGAGAATTTACATATGAATGGGCATGAATTTTGAAATAATTTTAGAGGTCACTGTTAGGTCCCACAATTTTAAAAGAAAAAAATTTACCTTGTTTTCTTTTCTTAGTATGGATTTTCTTCATCAAACAATAAAGATTCACCAATGCCCTAGAAAATTTGGAATTCTATTGCTAGATTAAGAGTTCATTATAGAAAGCTTCTTAGTCAAGCAAAGTCAGTATTCAGATCCAAGCTCTACTATCACAGGTGATAAGAAAGTTATAAAATTTTTCTCAACCTACTTCGTTCATTCCTACAATGAACATAAATCATGGAAAACGTTGGAAAGCATTGTTGTCTGACGCACTAGCAGGTAATCAATAAGTGATGACCAATCCTGTCACGTTGACCTTCCCTGAAAATAAGATCAGCATTTAATAGTTTGTCTCCTACCTGAGATTTTGCAGTAAGTGCAAGAGAATGGTAGCCACCTGCCTCCAGATGGATCACTTCTTTACCATCTAGACACTTTACACACAGTGGTTGAAGCCTTAAAAAAACACACACACACATGGTAAATCAAGGTATTCTCAGAGTGATGGCCTTTCTGAAATTTTAGAGTGCTTTCAAGTATAAGTATTTCAAAAGAAAATATTAAAATGAATGTATATATATTTTAAATATAGTCTTAAAAACTATAAATAATTTTTGTGTCATTTTAATTTACTCCTTGTGTATGAATCACTAATTAACCACCACAATTCAGAATTTGTTATGAATCATAAAACTAAAAATAAACCATCATAGCAGAGAGTACACTTAGGACACAATGAAATACATCTGTAGAGGGGAGTAAGGTGATTTTAAAAAATATTCCATCATCTGTCTTCACTCTGCTTAGGACATTTATATAGCAGGCTGCTTTAGATAATCCTTCCATTTATACACACCTACAAACTTCACAAATACCTAATTTATTAATATTATAAGCTCCTATTAAACAAAATGACAGTTTTCCACTGATGCAGTTTTGACAGCCACAATGTAATGTTTCAGTTATAGTTATTTTGGCACTGGCAGGGACATCTTTCAAGTAAAAAAAAAAATCTGCCAACTCTCTTAGAAATTTGTTTTTAAGAGAGATTTCTGCTATAGGGCACGTGTGCTCACTGGAGAGATGAGAGAGACAGAAAGCAAGAAATCACCTCCCATGATGGATGGCCACACCACAATCCCTTCTCCTCCATTCTCCTCTCAGGATTTTGGGCATGCACGCACACATGCCTGGCATGAGTTTAAGTTGTGGGGTCTGGGATTTGAACTGCAGTCGACTCCGTGCAGCCCAATGACGTAACCACCACGCCATATGCTGGTCTCCTCTCTTAAAAAACTGAAAATGTGAACCATTCTAGTGTTCCCATGAAATACCATCTTATGTCCAGCACCCTTTTTGTTTTCTAAGATGAGTATACATCAAAGACGACAGGGAAAGCCAACAGGTGATGTGGTGGTTAGCGTGCTGGACTCCCAATGGCTGAACTATGGTTCGAGTCTCAGACCTAGCAGCATGCTTCCTCACATTCCCTCTTTTCCTCTGGTCTCCTCTCAGGATTTTGGGCATGCACGCACACATGCCTGGCATGAGTTTAAGTTGTGGGGTCTGGGATTTGAACTGCAGTCGACTCCGTGCAGCCCAATGACGTAACCACCACGCCATATGCTGGTCTCCTCTCTTAAAAAACTGAAAATGTGAACCATTCTAGTGTTCCCATGAAATACCATCTTATGTCCAGCACCCTTTTTGTTTTCTAAGATGAGTATACATCAAAGACGACAGGGAAAGCCAACAGGTGATGTGGTGGTTAGCGTGCTGGACTCCCAATGGCTGAACTATGGTTCGAGTCTCAGACCTAGCAGCATGCTTCCTCACATTCCCTCTTTCCTGGTGGATGTATGTACTCTATAACAATCTGAAAAATAAATAAATAAATAAACCTTTAAAAAAAAAAAAAGACATGGAAAGGTGGCTACAAAAACACATGGATATGTAAGTCCAAATTCAAGACTAAGGTTAACAACAGCTTTTTTTAAAAAAGAATTATTTTATTTAATTTTATTCATCACTATTATTTTTAAAATGTGATCAGAGAGAGAGAAAAGAAAAGTGAGAAAGCAAGCCACCAGGTCTGAGACTTGAACTGTGGTTGGCCATGTGGGGATCCAGAGCACCAACCAACATGCCACCTACTCGCCCCAAAGTAACAGCTTTGTATCAGAGGTAATGGTGCACCGTAATCTGGAGCTAGAAGGGATCGGACCTCCTCTATGAGGACACTGAGGATTCAGGGTCCTTTCATAGGAGAGAGGTGATCTGCTGAGGCCAGTTTCCCATCAGTCAATGCCAGTGCACTTACCTGGGCAGAACATCGCCATGCCCCAGCTGCCCTTCCTTCCCTTTTCCCCAGGTCCACACCTCTGTTCGCAAGGAAGGCAGGAGAGCATCTGCTTCTCCACTATACGTGGGGGTCAGAACCACAGTCCTCGTTTTCACCCGAGCAGCTTTTCTTAATAGCCTAGGCGAAACTGAAAACAAACCAGAGATGAAGTGGACAATAGGGACCCAGGATGGGAAGATAAGTTACAATTTTGAAAAATTGAAGATTTTCAAAGAAATATACTAGCATGGCATTTTTGAAGCATACTGTATAGGTGCACTGTATAGGTTCTCTGCAGAAAAGAGAATTTAATAGTCACGTGAGTGCTGGTAAATGCTCCCCACTATGTTCTGTTCTCCCACTATTTCCCTGCAGAAATTCACTCTAGCACGCATTAGGCACTGACAAGTCATGCAATTAAAAGTCCTGGTTAGAGGCCAGTTCATGGCCTACTGGTTAAGGGAGCCAGATCCTACATCCCAGATGAACACGCAGTTTGAATTCTGACCCTGGTGGCTAGAAAAAACACACTGGACAGGTGTGCATGTGCACCCCAAATCTCAACAGAACAGATAATGGAGAAGGGGTTGCAGTGTGACCATACCTCACTGGGGAGTGCTCTCTCTCTCTCTCTCTTTGTCTTTGTCTTTGTCTCCCTGTCCCATGACCCTTGACAAAATTTTAAGAAATAAAGAAAAGCTCTGCTTAACTGTTATTAACTTAGCCCTGCTTTCAAACATCTGGCCCCAGAATCCTCTTCTGTATAACATCTAGTGACACTATGTAGAACTTGTATTTTAAAGAATATGCTGAACAAAATACTACACTAAAGCTAACAAATGTTTTTCCCATTTCAAAGTGGAGTTAAAATTTAAGCTTTTCTGAGCCATGGTCTAAGTTCCCATATATTATAAATAATTGTAATAGAAAACTTCAGATACAAATTTTTAAAATTTTATGGTGGATAAAAGATCATGAAAGGTAATACTAAAGAGATTTTGTATTTTACCTCTACTTTTAAAATTAAAGAGAAGCTAAATAATCTTTTAAAAGAATTCTGCCATCCTTTATAGTGTTCGAAATTATAAAGAACACATATAATATTATATAAATTTTGTATACTAATTTGGATAAGTTTTGAAGAAAATCAGCAAATGTCACTATGTGTAGACTCAGCCATTAATTTGCAGGCCACAAGAAAGTGATGCCATCACTGCCTAAGATCTACATCATTGCTAATGAATGTACCATTTGTATGCACACAGGGACTCAAATAAACTTACTTAAAGTTTTGTCGAGAATGTGTAGCTGGGGGCCGGCAGGTGGCAAGGTGGTTAGGTGCCGGATTCCCATATGGCCAACTGTGGTTCAAGTCCCAGACCTGGCAGCTTGCTTTCTCACTTTCTCTCTCTCTCTCTCTCAGATCAAATTAAAATAAATAAGTAAATAAAGGTAAATAAAATAATTCTTTAAAAAACAGAATGTGTTGCTGATAATTTTTTTTTTTTTTGGAGAGGTTTTCGCTATAGGGCGCGTGCGCTCGCCAGACAGAGAGAGACAGAAAGGCAGAAAGCGAGAAATCACCCCCCAGGGTGGATGGCCATGTCGCAATCCCTTCTCCTCCATTCTCCCCTCGGATCTTGGGCACGCACATGTGCCCAGCGTGAGTTTTAAGCCACCGGGTCCGGGAAGCGAACCACAGTCGACTACGTGGGAGTCCAGTGACATAGCCATTACGCTAACTGCTGGTTCCCTTTTTATTTATTTATTTATTTTTGGGTTGCTGATCATTTTTAAAGAGAAAAAGAGTACATGCAAAATTTTTCCAAAGCTACTTTAGGATGCTAAGTAAAATTTAACCCTAGGGTGTAAGTCTGTTACTGGGACTGCGTATGGTCTGTATCACAGGCCAAAAACCACTATTCCACATTGGTAGTTCAAAGAGATTTCAAATATATTTAAACTTATAATGCTAAAAGATATTTAAGAATACGAAAATTTTAGGGGGTCAGAAGGTGACATGGTGATTAAAGTGCTGAACTACATGGCTGACTGCAGTTTGAGTCCTGAACCTGGTGACTTGCTTTTTCACTTTCCCTTTCTCTCTCTCTCTGTTCAAATTAAAAAATAACAGTAATCAAACTAATAACAAATAAAATTAAAGAAAAAAGAAAGTGTTGGTACAAGTTTCTCCTTGAGAAAACAGAATTTATGGTTTTCTTAAATATTGTTTATATATGTATACACAAATTAATCAGGACTAAGGGTTTTATTCGTGTAGATGAAAATCTAGTGGCAATGAGAATTAGGAGGCAGGACACAGGAAGTGCTCAGTGACATAAGAGAGTGCAGGAAGTAGAACCACATGGAGAGCAGGGGCAGAGAAGAAACACCAGTGAGCTCCGTACAGTCCAGGATACCTAACTTGGCAACTTTGCACACCATGGTGTAAAACAAAGGTTGGTTAATTACAGCCCATAGGTCAAATGGAGCCCATGGCCTATGTTTGTAAATACACTTTTATTGGAATATAGCCTCACTCATTCACTCATGAATCATCTGTGGTGACTTTTATGTTTTTTGTTTTTGTTTTTTTTTAATTACCAAAGGGTGTGGGCACCCACTGGAAACATACAGAAAGCGAGGAAGAAAGAAAAAGCACCTTCTGATGGTCATGCCACAATCCCTTCTCCTTCATCTTTCCATCCTGTCAGGATTTGGGGCACGGAAGTACACACATCTAGAGTGTATTTCAAGCTGCCAGGGCCAAGGTTTGAACTGGTCAGCCATGTAGGATCCAGCTCTCTTAACCACTAGGCTATGGGACCAGCCCTTTGGGGACTTTTATGTAGCAACAGAATAGCTGAATAGTTGCCACAGAGAATGTATGACCCACAAATAAACTATTTCTCTTTGGGCTCTTTAGAGAAAAACCTGCAAACTCTTGGCATAATCCAATGCTTCTCCAACTTTCATGTGCATGCTAACCACTTGTTAAAATGCATATTCTGAATCAGTAGGTTTGGAGTGGAGCCTGAGATGGTACAGTTCTGACACATTCCCAAATACCGCTGAAGCTGCTGGTCTGCACATCACTTTTGAGACGTACAAGTCTAGACAGTCTAGATTGTTGAACTGATTAAGAAATGTAGGAGAACTAACCACCTATTACCTTTAACACTCTAAAAAGTTTATTGCCAATGGTTTCAGAAAATGAAGCTCTCTCATACTGAGTCTTACAAATGAGCTCTTTCAGGTCAAGTGTAGTAATTCCTCACTTACCTAACGGTCACAATTGCAACCACATCTATCTGTAGATTAGATCCTAATTAGGAAATGAGACTACTGTCACATTCCAAAACAATACAGTAAGATTCATAATAGGATTCATAAGCAGAGCAGGCATCAACAAAAAGCTATGTTCTCTGGTTATTTTTATGAAGCAGAGAAACATAATTTTCTTTAAAACCATTTAGGGAAACAATTGTTAAATAAATTTTGACATCTGAGTTATGTCAGCTTCAGTAATCAGAAAAGCTTATTTGTTATAATACAGAACGTGATGTCAGGAGCATCCTGGGATTCACCAAAAGCTGATTCAAAAACCTGGTTAATCCTTACCTTGTGACAACAATCCAGGGAGGGAGAGTCTTCTACTGCCTCCCTCTGATTCCTCTTCTCTGATATCCACTAGACTTGAACTTTTCTTTCCTTGCATCGATTCCTGTTTAACCTGTTCTTCTCTGCTATCTTTCAGGCCTTCTGGGCCTATGGAACTACCGCCTGCCTGAGCTCCAGTTTCACACGGGGCTGTACTATAAAAGTTCATCACTTTCTTAAGAGACAAGGCCCCAGCTTCATACGTAGCAGCCACTCTCACACCAACAGCAGATGCACAAGAGACTACCAGGCTGTTTAGGGCTGAGGTGCTGGTGGTTGGTGGGCTGTGAAGATTAGGAATTGTTTCTTCTACGAGAGGCTAAAAATATACACATACAAAAAAGCGTATAAAAATAGAATCCCTTATACAAAAAGCAATCAATAAAAAAGAAGTTTAACATCCATCACTGTGTACATTTAGGAATCCAAAACAAAAGAAGGTCTCTTCTTCTCCAACTTAAAAGGTTTCCCCTCTTGATCATGGAGTTAATGCACTAGGCGGAAATGAGGACTCAAAATACTTATCAAAAGGACTTCCTTTTGTCTGGGTGTTAAGTTTTCACATGGTATTTAAACAGAAGCCCTAGCTGCTTTTTAAAAACTAAGAACAGTAGAAGCAGAGAAGAGGAAAAGTATGGTAAACACTGCCTTTCATATATGGTACTCTGTGATGGCCCTGGATAAAAGCTGGAAGAAAAATGCAAGTTTAATATTGATCACTTTTAGGAAAATATACACTGCTACTAAGAAATAGGAAAAAAAATTAATATTTTTGTCTAAAATGTTTTATAAATCGAAAATTAGATCTAACATATATAGTTATTCCTCTGCCCTATCACCTTCCAAATTATGTCCTTAAGTTCAGGTCCTTCTCCTGGCTCACTAGTAAGTCACTTCCCATGGCTCAAGAGGTAGACAGGCCGAAGGATTACCTTTGCTCTTGCTACCATAGAGGGTAAATGTGGTAAATTAATAATTAACATTTGGAACCAATGTCCACAGTGAGATTTACAGGTGAATTACAAAGTCAAACTAAAGTTCTCTAATATCTTAGGGAAAAAAATCAGCTGAAACCTACTCTAAGCTGTCAAACATCACTGTTTACTATAAAGGAAAGTCATTAAATGTACCTACCAATATGTGAAAAGCTTATCGGCATAGGTTACACTGAATAATTTGCTTCTTATTCTACTCAAAGATCCAGAGTATATACATGTTTCTTAATGTGTTCTGAATTAAAAACCAACCCAATGAAAAAGTCCTTTTTAAGACTGGCTTCTGATTTCCTTAAATAATTCCTGTCGCCTAGCACAATGCCCAACATGGGGCTGTTACCTGATATATTTCCTTGAATTAAATATTAAAGTAAGGGAACAAGAGGATGGTGTTATGGTTTTGTTGTGAGACTCCCACATTGTAGAGTCCCACATTGTTGGTCATGGTTTGAGCCCTGGACCTGGCAGCTTAAGGTTCATGCCGGGCATGTGTGCATGCGTGCCTAGAATCCCAAAGAGGAGAATGGAGAAGGAATTGTGGTGTGGCCATCTCCCTGGGAGGTGATTTCTCACTTTCTGTCTCTCTCTCTAGTGAGTGCACATGCCCTATAGCAAAAATATCTCCAAAATAATAATAATAACAACAATAATAATAAATATTAAAGTCAGCAGAGCTATTTCTAGGTAAATAAGGTGTGAAAGGACTGTGGTGTGACCGCCAGGGGGAACGTGGTGTGCTTTTCCATACACCTTCTGGCAAAAAAAAAAGATAGATACAAAGTCTAATATTTACTTCTTTGGTGACAGTTATCATTTTAACTTGTTCAGCAGAACATCACATTGATTTCAACTTTTGTTTAAAAAAGCTGTAACACAACTTTTTAAAGAGGTTCTTACCATTAGACAGAAGAAGGCCACAAAAACTATACTTTAGACACGGACTTCAAGAAGTTCAAGAAAAAATATTTTGGTGCAAAAATGTTTCAATTTCATGCACAGTTTTTTTCATAATATACATATCCATGAACTTTTTGGAGAGCAATCCCCTCTTATAAACTGTTAACTACTGTTCTAACTGGCTCCTTCCATTTAATTATATTTAAGAATAAAGTAAATAAACAAAAAAAAGCAGCCACTCTCACACCAACAGCAGATGCACAAGAGACTACCAGGCTGTTTAGGGCTGAGGTGCTGGTGGTTGGTGGGCTGTGAAGATTAGGAATTGTTTCTTCTACGAGAGGCTAAAAATATACACATACAAAAAAGCGTATAAAAATAGAATCCCTTATACAAAAAGCAATCAATAAAAAAGAAGTTTAACATCCATCACTGTGTACATTTAGGAATCCAAAACAAAAGAAGGTCTCTTCTTCTCCAACTTAAAAGGTTTCCCCTCTTGATCATGGAGTTAATGCACTAGGCGGAAATGAGGACTCAAAATACTTATCAAAAGGACTTCCTTTTGTCTGGGTGTTAAGTTTTCACATGGTATTTAAACAGAAGCCCTAGCTGCTTTTTAAAAACTAAGAACAGTAGAAGCAGAGAAGAGGAAAAGTATGGTAAACACTGCCTTTCATATATGGTACTCTGTGATGGCCCTGGATAAAAGCTGGAAGAAAAATGCAAGTTTAATATTGATCACTTTTAGGAAAATATACACTGCTACTAAGAAATAGGAAAAAAAATTAATATTTTTGTCTAAAATGTTTTATAAATCGAAAATTAGATCTAACATATATAGTTATTCCTCTGCCCTATCACCTTCCAAATTATGTCCTTAAGTTCAGGTCCTTCTCCTGGCTCACTAGTAAGTCACTTCCCATGGCTCAAGAGGTAAACAGGCCGAAGGATTACCTTTGCTCTTGCTACCATAGAGGGTAAATGTGGTAAATTAATAATTAACATTTGGAACCAATGTCCACAGTGAGATTTACAGGTGAATTACAAAGTCAAACTAAAGTTCTCTAATATCTTAGGGAAAAAAATCAGCTGAAACCTACTCTAAGCTGTCAAACATCACTGTTTACTATAAAGGAAAGTCATTAAATGTACCTACCAATATGTGAAAAGCTTATCGGCATAGGTTACACTGAATAATTTGCTTCTTATTCTACTCAAAGATCCAGAGTATATACATGTTTCTTAATGTGTTCTGAATTAAAAACCAACCCAATGAAAAAGTCCTTTTTAAGACTGGCTTCTGATTTCCTTAAATAATTCCTGTCGCCTAGCACAATGCCCAACATGGGGCTGTTACCTGATATATTTCCTTGAATTAAATATTAAAGTAAGGGAACAAGAGGATGGTGTTATGGTTTTGTTGTGAGACTCCCACATTGTAGAGTCCCACATTGTTGGTCATGGTTTGAGCCCTGGACCTGGCAGCTTAAGGTTCATGCCGGGCATGTGTGCATGCGTGCCTAGAATCCCAAAGAGGAGAATGGAGAAGGAATTGTGGTGTGGCCATCTCCCTGGGAGGTGATTTCTCACTTTCTGTCTCTCTCTCTAGTGAGTGCACATGCCCTATAGCAAAAATATCTCCAAAATAATAATAATAACAACAATAATAATAAATATTAAAGTCAGCAGAGCTATTTCTAGGTAAATAAGGTGTGAAAGGACTGTGGTGTGACCGCCAGGGGGAACGTGGTGTGCTTTTCCATACACCTTCTGGCAAAAAAAAAAGATAGATACAAAGTCTAATATTTACTTCTTTGGTGACAGTTATCATTTTAACTTGTTCAGCAGAACATCACATTGATTTCAACTTTTGTTTAAAAAAGCTGTAACACAACTTTTTAAAGAGGTTCTTACCATTAGACAGAAGAAGGCCACAAAAACTATACTTTAGACACGGACTTCAAGAAGTTCAAGAAAAAATATTTTGGTGCAAAAATGTTTCAATTTCATGCACAGTTTTTTTCATAATATACATATCCATGAACTTTTTGGAGAGCAATCCCCTCTTATAAACTGTTAACTACTGTTCTAACTGGCTCCTTCCATTTAATTATATTTAAGAATAAAGTAAATAAACAAAAAAAGCATGACCAGCAATTTTGATGAAAGACATAATTTCAGTATTTTTAGTCAACCAATAATATTTTGGTTTATTTCACAAAAGTAAGACTCAAGGGGAACCAGCAGTTAGCGTAATGGCTATGTCGCTGGACTCCCATGTAGTCGACCACGGTTTGCGTCCCAGACCCGGTAGCTTAAAACTCACGCCAGGTGCGTGTGCGTGCGTGCCCAAGATCCCAAGAGGAGAATGGAGGAGAAGGGACTGCGGTGTGACCATCCCCCCTGGGGGGTGATTTCTCGCTTTCTGTCTCTATGTCTCTCTGTCTGGCGAGTGCACGCGCCCTATAGCAAAAACCTCTCCAAAAAAAAAAAAAAAAAAAAAGGTAGGACTCAATTAAATCTGAGCAGAAGAGGAAAAAACTTGTTCTGATCCATAAAAATTCCTCGTGAATTAACTATATACCTTGAGACACTGTTTGCAAACGAATTAAATTAAATGTGAACACGTACCACCAAAATTAGCATAAGCCACAGAAACTTTTAGTGTTTAACGAGAAAATCTAAGGGAAAATGCAATTTCAACTACTGTAATAAAATAAACTACACAATAAACTTTTAACTTTAAATTTAATAAATCAAAGAAATTACTTTAAAAATCAAACACTTTTATAAGCAAGTATATAGTCTAAGAATTTTCTACATGAATTCTTATGACGTTATTACTTTGGTTTAGATTTTTATAATGCTATTCTCCAAATACTTTATTTTAAAATTAAAAATAAAAAATCTCAAATATCCACAAGGTATAGTGATTAGTCTGTGAAGTAAAGACTATTCCTAAAAATCCCCTATATTCTCATTTTAACAGTCAACAAGAAGGATGAAAAATCAAGAGGCATAGGGTCAGCAGGTGGTATGGTGGCTAAGGTGCTAGACTCCCACATAGCTGGCCCTGGTTTGAGCCCCAGAGCTGGAAGTTTGCTTTCTCACTTTCCCTCTCTATCTCTCTCTGGTCAAATAAAATAGTAATAATAAGTAATAAGTAAAATTAAAGAAATAATTCTTACAAAAAAAAGAAAAGAGAATCAAGAGGCCATGTGGTTTCATGAGCCTGGAAAAAAGAACTCCAGAGATCAGATCTTCTGATTAAAAATTTTTTTTTTTTAATTAGTTTTGGTAAGAGTAAAAACCAGAAATGACATTTTAGAGCAATCTACCTTAAGCAGGGAGACTCAAATTTTACTGTACGTTTCTGGTAAATAGCTTTTGTCTATCACAAGTTTTCAAAATGAGGATGGATAAAATATTACCCCCCACTTAAATAAGGCCCAGTAAGGACCATGGCTATAATTGAAAATAACTCAAACCATGTAATACTTTTTATAGTTTTTTTGTGGCATGAAGGACATGCCACAAAGCTACAGAACTATCAAGAGTGGACAAATATACATCAGAAGACTCTTCATGAATATTATTATATTAAAATATTCAAGGGGCCCACCAACATTCAGAACCTTAGCCATTGGGGGGAAGGTGCTAGAAGAACAAAACTGAGATTTTGCTAATTACACAAGTGCAGCAGGACATCATCACACAGGGCCAGAACTCGAACACAGGTTCTTTCCTTATCTAGTCTTGCCTGATAAAACAGAATTGCTATCCAAAGTTGAACTAAGCCCTAAGCATTTTAAGGTTTCTAAAGAAAGGCTCATATGATTCAACTCCAGAAATACTTCTTTACCATAAAGTTTAGCAGGTACCTGAGATGGCACTGGCTTTTCGCTGTTCTTTTCACTGTTTTCTGAGTTCTCTCTTATCGCATGGTCTGACAATTTCCGCAAGTACTCATTTACTGCCTGGGTGTCAGGGTATGATGGTATGCTTCTCGCAGAAGAACTTTCAGCCGTTCCCATGCTATTCTGTTGAGAGGAAATGGCATCCCCATTCATGGTCTGAACAACTCCTACATTCAGTTCAGCGGCAACAGGCAGGTCATTTTCTGCAACAGTGGTCTCGAAAACATCCCCCTGACTGTCAAGGGTTTCCGTCGAGGGGCTGACGGCAGTGCTGGCATGGTTTTCCGCCTGGGATTCTGACAGTGTCACACCTAATGGGCAACAGTGACTGTCTGAGATAATCACATGGTCTTCCTTGTCAGTCATAGTAATTAGGAGCTGGCTGCACTGGTTGCATCTCTCTGGGACTGGCTTCAGATCTTGGGAAGGGAGGCACTGCACAAGTGCTAAGCTGTGGAAAGCACCACAGGCAACTTGTAGCACCACTCGTCCAGCAAGATGTTCTATCTTCTGTGGCTTTGTCACCGGGAAGGTAGTGGTAATGAGACCCAGCTGACAACCGGTACCCCATGCCCAAATCTCTCTGCTTATTGACAATGCTAGGGTGTGCTCCTCGCCACATGCCAACTGCAAAATCCTCACTGCTAACAAAGGGCTGGTCTCAGAATCAGAAATGCTGACAGGGTTCGGTTCTGGCACATACTGCTGGTTAGCTACCGCACACTGGCCGGCAGCATTCTTCCCCCACATGTACACTACGCCACTTTCAGTCACCGCGCCGCTGTGGAAACTCCCAGTTGCCACAGTAACAACGTACTGCCCAACCAGGGCATTTTCAAGAATGGGGCTACTTGGACAAATCTCTGCCGATTCACTTCTCCAGGGAAGGGTCCCAAAGCTGTAGACTTCACCGTCTAAAGGTTTAAAAAAAAAAAAAAAAAGGTTAGTAAACTTATTAGAAATTTTGTCAGTCAATGTTTAGTTTTCTTCAGATTTAACAAAATAGGACTTTTTATTTTTAATTTCCAAAAGCACAGTTGTGAAATTTGATTCAAGCATACACAGCACTGCACTTATTGGTCTTTTAACAAATACTATCTTTTAGCATTCTGGACTACAGTGAAAATTTTTTACAAACTGCAGAAGGCTACTTTCTAATGAAAGGCATTATTCCCTTCCTTCTGCCTCTTCCTACAGGCACCTAGCACTGACTCACAGGCTATTACATAAGTAGACTCCAAGTGCAGAAAAACAAAATAACTAATATAAAATAGATACACTTACTAATATCTACAACATTCACGACTATTAAATGAGTCAGGGCAGCAGAAAAGTGTTAATAAGACATAGCTGCACGATGCACATCATATTATGGGTAATTTTTAAATGTTATGTATAATGCATTATATACTAGATAGCCTTTCTGGGGTAAGATTTGTTTTAAAAACCCTTCAGCACAGGGACCAGCAGTTGGTGCAATGGCTATGTTGCTGGGCTCCCATGTAGTCGACGGCGGTTTGAGTCCCAGACCTGGTGGCTTAAACTCATGCCAGGCACGTGTACGTGCATGCCCAAGATCCCAAGAGGAGAATGAAGGAGAAGAGATTGCAGTGTGGGCCTCCCCCCTGGGAGGGTGATTTCTCGCTTTGTCTCTCTCTGTCTTTCTGGGAAGCATATGCGACCTATACCAAAAACCTCTCAGAAAAAATAACAAACCATCAGCACAACAAAACGAGGCAAAAGACAAAACAAAACAAATTATGCTATCGGAATAACTGGCTTTAGAATGAAAATGAAAGCTACCAATGATTAAGATACATAAATGATGAAAATATACATGAGCCAGATAGTGGCTTAACAGTAACACAACTAGGAAAGATCCTGGGTACGTCTCCTGGGACCGCTGTGATCCAGGCTGGCTGAGACCAGTAGTGGATCATAGCTTTAAGACCCAGCTGGGAGGTGCCTGTCTTTGTCTTTCTCTTCCCTGTTTCTCATAGGAAGAAAGAAAGCAATTAAATTTAAAAAAAAAAAAAAAGATAACTTATTACAGTATTGTGGGAGTTTGAGAGCATGTATGCATGCTCTATACTGGCTAAAATTTCAAATGAAATGAAGACTTGGCCATAGGTTTTTTAAAATACTGAACAAAGCTTACTATACCTTCTTTTCTATATGACCAGAGATTTGCTTGCTTTTTTAAAAATAAAAGAAATAAGTAATATTTTTTTTCCCACAAGGCAGCAATTGAGTAATGATGGAAAAGAAATTCAAATTTTGACACAACATACTTGACAGATACATCTAATATGCTCAAATTAACTTATCATAAAATCAATGTAAGGAAAAAAGCAATTGTGGCTAAAAGAAAGATATGTGCTTTTATTAGGGAATTTATAGCCTGGGTAAAAAATACAGAGAAGGACGAACAGATGGCGTAGCAGTTATGTCACTGGACTCCCCCATGACCGACCATGGTTCAAGTCCCAGACGGCTTCAAACTCATGCTAGGCATGTGTGCATATGTGCCCAAGATCCCGGGAGGAGAATGTAGGAGAAGGGATTGAGGCATGGCCATCCCTCTTGGGGGGCATGATTTCTCACTTTCCTTCTCACTGTCTCTATTTCTCTGTCTGTTACACACACTCCCTAAGGCAAAAACTTCTTTTTTAAAAAAAGAGTACAGAGAAAATAAGCTCACTAGATAAGACCTTTTAAGCTTTTTTTCTCCAAGTGACAATACACTTCCAACAGCTCACCAACTCTTTCAACTTATATTATTCCACTGTAGACAGAAAAAATGCAATAAAATGGATGTTTAGACCCATCTCTCCTTTTTAAAACCCAGAACACATTAAAAATAGTGAGTCAATGAAGTGTCCTCATTGAATTATGACCTAAAGGTCAAATTTAATTGAGACAAAGAAACTTAAAAATTACTAGCATTCAATCAGAACCATTTCCTTCTCTGGAAAAAACAGTACTGGAAAGTGATGTGACATTTCAAACTTCACACTTGCATGAAATGAGACTTTTTTGTAACTAACACTTAATACTAAGACACTGCTTAAACATGAAACAATCCTAGGCTACTTAGAGGTTTTTGAAAAATTTTCCCTCAGCTGTCCCAGCTTTGTAGATATGATTCTAGATCATACAGTTATCATGTTCATGAAGGGTTTCCAAATATATTACTGAAAGTTTTCAAATATCTTAATGAAGATACTCTAAACATCTTCCTAAAAACAACAGAATTCCACTGTTATTGAAGCCCACAGGGCAGGTACTGAATATAACTCGTATTTTTAAAATAAGGCTTCTTTCAAAGTCTTAAACAATATAACATATATTATTATAATAGAAGCGGAATAAAGAGATTAGAAAGAAATCCCATGTTTACTACATAAAATCAACAAGATCGGATTAAAGCTTTGTTTCTCAGAACTTGTCTTTCCTTAGTCCCTAGAAGGAAAATACCAAAGCATTATTTAATACTTAATAAATGCTCAGAGAAATTTATAAATTAGTGAGGTTGATGGCAGTCTTGGCCCAAATTAAATTTGCTGTGACTGAGTTGATAAGCAGCCTTCAAGATTAAATTATAGTATACGTTTCTATGTGTTAAAGATGCATACATTTGATAATATACTCTTGTGAGCTGTTATTTATGCTGAGAAAAAACTGTACTGAGACAGTACAGCCAAGTGGCTTAAAAGCAGGTTTCAAAATCAGACTATGAGTTCCAATCCTGACTCTGACACTTTAACTACTGAACCTCTTCTTCCTTCCCTGTGCATATCTGCGAATAATAGCTCTCTCAGAGAGTGATTGCGGAGATCCAGTGACATAATGAGAAGCAGACCAGTGTCGTACCTCACTGCAGTTACTGTTAGCAGTATTACTCTGACATAGTTAATGAAGCAACAGCTATGGCAAAAAGGCTGAATTGGTAGTAACCTTTTAAAAAAGTTAATTTTTTACATATTTACAAAATTTACAAATGCTAATTCTCCCTTTTATGCTAGTCAACAGTGCATTTTAAACTTAAAACCTAATCTGATTTTTTTATTAGGTCTTAAGTTTAAGGGAGTAAGAACATATTTTGAGAACTAAAGAATATGAGTTCCTAGCCAAGTTTTAAGAACCCTTGGTATCTAACATCTGTCTTGCCTGACCTCTAGCCTAGTTTTAAGAACCCTCATTATCTAACCTCTCTAACCTGACCTTATACACCTTATACACATACATTTGTTAAACATTTTTTTTCAATACCTTCAGTCAGAAGAATTCCATGTTTGACTCCAAGGGCTGCTTGAAGAACCGTCTTTCCTCCCCAGCCTGGCAATCTCTCTGGTGTTGGGGAAAAGGATCCTGCCTGCCAGACATGGACCAGGCCTCTTTCTTTGGACCCTTCTGCCTCTGCTGAGCTACAAACATCAGGAAAAAATAGCTTAACTGTTTCTACAGTTCTGAATTGTATCTTTTGCTCTTAAAAACTACGAATGAGATTGTACCTTTTACCAGCACATAGATGACTGGGTCAGCTGATTTAAGTAGCACCTATTTTATGCTTTGGTTAGGACAGAAGAGCCAAGATAAAACAACTATTTATATAAAAGGCTAGAGTTAAGTTAAACCTACAAATTGCTTGTCTCTAGTTAAGCAGCAAACAAAACTTGTGCTATTTTTCAAAGTTTTATGATGAGGTAACATAAAATTTCATCAGCTTCTAACTTCTCAACATGAACTTCTTGTTTCTTTTCTTTTTTCCCCCTAAGTCTGTACCAAACGCGTACAGACTGGTTTTTGTTTGTTTTGCTATAGGGCATGTATGCTCACAGGACAGAAAGAGACGGAAAGTGAGAAAGCACCCCTGAGAGGGGGGATGACCAGACTGCAATGCTCTTCTGTTCTCCTCTCAGGATTTTGGAGAGGCAAACACACATGCTCCAGCATGATTTTCTAGCCACCTGGTCTGGGACTTGAACAGCATAGCTGCCCATGTGGGATCTAGCCACCTTCACGACCATGCCACTGCTGGCCCATTAACTCCCTGTTTGGATATTATAGTGATAACGTGTCCCAAGCTGAAGTCTTATTTAAAATTTTTAGTTTATAATTGGTAAAAAGTATTTGATGAGAAAGAACTGAGAAACAAAAACCCGCATTTTCCTTTGTGCTAGTTTACATCTATAATTGCTGTTTTTAAGAATCAAATTGAGGGGCCAGCAGGTGGTGTGGTGGTTAAGGTGCTGGACTCCCTCATGGGCAACAATAGTTCAAGCTCCAGACCTGGTAGCTTATTATTTCCCTTTCTAACTCTCTCTCTCTCCACCAGACCTGGTGACTTGCTATCTCCCTTTCCAACTCTCTCTGTCTCTGGTCAAATTAAAAATAAATAAATTAAATTAAAAAAAAAATTAATAACAGCTACCAGTAAAACCCTTCACATTTAACTCATGGTTCTCTTTGATGACTCTGATTCAAACAATACAAACACATAGCTGCATAACAATGTCCATATTCTAATTCCTTCCCCTTCTAAGCAAAAAGTTATTAAGACACTGTTTCCTTTATCTAAAGTTTTCCTAAACGCCATCATAATGGCATTTCATTTTTCATTTTCTTTTTTCTAAAACACTGATACCTAAATTTAATGAGGCACAGAAACTTGAAAATGTAGGAATTTCTCTACTTTAGCTAAATAATATTCCCATAAACTGGCATAACCATGGTTCTGCAGAAGGAAGTCACAAATTTAACCTTCCTTTTAAATATCTTCCAACTAGCTTTCTGAGGAGGAAAGATAATTACAAATTAGTAAGGCTACTTCTGAAAACTTGAAATTATGGTGAGAAAAAAATGGCTACAAGAGCTTTCAAGTGAAGAAATGAAGATATTTAAAGCCTCTTAGAAGCATAAAAATAATCTAGCAACATAAGCCTATCATTGATCAACTTTATTCTAACACCTTTCTCTTTACCGATCTATTGCAAATGTCACTGTTCCCACTTAATAGCCATTGACAAGAAAACTAAACTGAATAGAAACTGCACTACTGTGGATTTCTCTGCTGCATTTTCCTAGAAAGACAGGGAGGAAGAAATGGTTTTACCTTCTCTTCTTTGGGTCCATGGGTCAGTGGGAACACTCCATCACCAAATCATTTCCTCTTTGCTAAAGGTGTATCAAGACCTAAATGGTAAAACACAAGTAAGCACACAGAACAGTGAAAGAATATTTTGCTACTTTATCCCACAGATTAAAAAAAAAAAGGGGGGGGGGGGAGCCCCAGGCTAAAAAAGGCACCCACT